TTGAGTTGAGTTGAGTTGAGTTGAGTCAGTCGACTCACTCACATCATGACGTGTTGTTATTATTCGGCAAAGCCAAGGGAATTTCGGATTTCGGATCATCGACCGCACGTTTCCTTGCGCGTCAAGCACCCGCCCATCAGTCGGCCATCGAGCCTCTCGAGACTAGAGGCATCACCCATCATCCATCACCACTGCGCTGTGCAAATCTCAGAGTCGGCAGCTGCAAGTCGTTCCCTCATTCAACTTTCATTCACACTTCATAGATATAACATTCTCGCCTAGAAATAGTTGGTTTCATGACCAGCATGAGATCAAGCAAGTCGAACGATAGCTGTTCCGCTTCCACGAGCTTATCAGAGGAGCAGAATAATGAGGAAACAAACTACATTCGGCGCACTCGAGGTTCAGAACACAGTTCATCTCAGTCCTATCTTTCCGCGATGACTGCTATCACAATTGCTGCAGCGTGTCTGGTATCATCAACATCTGCCTTTACAACAAGTTCCACCAGATGCATGCACAGTAGTCGCAAGCACACTGCATTCGTTCGACAGGAACTTCCATCAATTATAACCCGAAACTCGATACATCCATCCATTTCACCCACAAGTCTATTTGCTGCAGGAAGAACTCCTGATAAGGAAGAATGGCGAGCTATCCTAGCAGCTTTTCAAATGTACAAGGCTGCATATGGTGATCTGAAGGTTCCTTCTCGGTTTGTTGTGCCTTCTATGGCGCCCTGGCCTGGTAAGTTTGACGTCTCGTGTGTTTTTTCTAGGCACACAAGTGTCCCTAGCTAGCTATATGCAGTCTCTAACAAGTTCTTTTGATCGATTGTAGAGGCGGCATGGGATATGCCCTTGGGGAAAAAGGTTGCTTTGATCCGATCCGAGGGAAAGTATGTAGATGATAAGCCCAACAGAAGGGCTCAATTAGACAAGCTTGGCTTTGTATGGAGAGCCAGAGCGTCCCCCAAGTCGGCAGCTGGTACTCCTGATATCACCTTTGATCAAATCTTTGAAGCACTGGTTGCTTACAAGAAGGAAGTCAGTGGCAGTGGTCCTTTGTCCGTGCCAGTGGATTTCACAGTCCCAGACAGCGAGCCCTGGCCAGAAAGCACACGGGGGTTGCCTTTGGGAACAAGCCTTTCCAAGCTACGTTCGCCAAAGTTCCTGAAAGCGAATCCAGAGGCCGCTGCAAGATTGGGCGAGATTGGCTTTGTGACTGATTCCAAGGTTTCTGCCAACGACATTCGATTCAACAACGTTTTCACCGCGCTCAAGAGATATCAGGAAATATACGGTGACATGCTGGTTCCACAGCCGTTCACAGTACCCAATAGGTCCGGTGACTGGCCCGAAGAAACCTGGGGTCTGCGACTTGGGGCTCGTGTCAATGCCATCAGAAGTCAAGGGACATTCGTCAAGACGAATCCAGCACGTCGTCAAATGTTGGAGGACTTGGGATTCGTGTGGAGCCCACCAGAGTCAGAGCGCCGAAAGAGAGGTAGAAAGTCCAAGGCCGAATACGAACGAGAAACCATGGAAGCAGTGGCCTCCGTAGCCGGGTCTCCTGTCTCGAGCGACGACGAGGAAACCGCCGACGCAGATGCCTTTGTATCTTCCTTCGATTTCAGCTCCATAGCTGGAGAACCAGATGGCGAAGAATCGATCTCACCAACGTGGGGGCTTGAAAAAGGAAGAGACGTAGAAGATATGGCAGCAGCAATAACAGAAGAAGCTTCTCAGCCAGCTGAAGTTGAATACAAGCCAGAGTTAACATTGGGAGAGAGTCTAGCTCAGGCAAAGAGAAATGCAATAGAAATTGGCATTATTCGAGAGACGTAAGTCAAGAGTCCAGACTATGGTTTATCTGTTTGTTTGGAATCGCATTATACTAAACTTTCGTTCTGTTTTGCAGTGAAGACGGCAAGGGGTTCTTGAAAGGAAAGCAATCTAGAGATTTTCCTTGGTTCAACGACGATTTTGGAGACGATTTTGTATTTGAAGACGTCGTGGAAGCTCTTACACTCTACAAATCCTTTTACGGAACCTTTTCAAACTTCACAGATGAATCGTTCGTCATCCCTGTCAAGGATGATACGGTTTCTCCCTTCGATGCGCCCGATGATGATTTCGACTTTTTGGACGAAACCATGCCACCCAGTAGGGCAGCTCCTTCAATTGCACAATTTGAGGGGTTCGATGATCTCGACTTGATGGAAGAGTTCGCAGAGCCTGGAAGCGGCAAAATGAATGAAGAAGAAGACGCCGAGGAAGAGGCACCGGCCGTCACACTTCAACCCATCGCAGAAGTTGACTGGCCCGAGCATCTTGGCGGAATGTTGCTTGGCAATATTGTATCAAGAATTCGCGATGGAAGTCTTGAGGTGAAACATCTTGCGGAAAGAAAGGCTCAACTTGATGCCATTGGTTTCGACTGGGGAGATCCAAAATATTTCATTGATATACCCTTCGAGAAAGCAATATGTGCAATGTTTGCATACTATCTTGTCCGTGGTGATATGTTCGTCTCAGACGACTTTGTCATGCCAGATGTAGATCCATGGCCACAAGCTTTGGCTGGCTATGAAATTGGGAAGGCAGTAACGCGAATTCGACAGCTGCAAAATTTCTTCGAGGCGTACCACCCTGAAAAAGTCAGTCTCTTGCGAATGGTTGAATTTGTTTGGTTCCCAACCTTGGCCCTTCCAGTAGACCCCAATGAACCAGAAATGACAGCAGAGATGCTCAAGCTGAGCGCTCTTGGACACCCTGATTATGCCAAGATGATTGATATCCCAATGGGCTTGCCTGAGAAGATCCATGCCGAAGGTCCGTTTCATGATAGTGATGATCCAAGACTTTGGTGGCGAAAGTATCATAGTTGGGATTTGGTTCAAGACTACTGGTACCAGAACGGACGGCGTGACAACGCATTCATATTGCGTGGGTTGGGATACCCTCAAATGGCAGACGAACATGAAGAAAAGTACGGCCCAGGACTATTTGAACAGATCCAGGGTACTCTTGACAGACTAGAGAACGGACCCGCTGTCAAAGCAAAGGACGAAAAGGAAGAGCTTATCGCAACACTAAAGTACTACCGAGATGAATTGGCTGGATGCAAAGATATTCATCCCAGAAACCTAGAAAGGCTTGTGGAGGATATTGATATCCACATTTTGCAATTGGTTACAGGAAAGAAGGCGTCAACAATAGAAGAGCTCAGCGAGGCTGCAATGGCAATGAATTATGAGGAAGAATATGTTGAAAAGGAAGAGGAGGAGACCGTTGAGAATGAAGAAGACTACGAAGAAGAGGAAGGAGAATACGAAGAAGCCGAAGAAGGGCAGGTGGAGGAAGTTGAGGAGGTCGAGGAAGAAGTCGAGGAGATCAATATCGAGGAAGAACTTGGTCTGGACGCAGTAGAAGTCTCTGAGTCATAATAAAGCTAGCAAAGCAGTATGTCCATTCGTACAACCTACTAAAGTTCTTCCACTATGCCCATGCTGAAGCATTTTAGGATGATTAATTAAATTCGCTATAGCTATTCTATCGCATCCAACGTTTCTTTCCTTCAGAATCATCCAATTTGGCTGATTCTTGCTGGCCACGGAAAAGAAGACGGGGTAAAGCAGACGAAGATCTTGCATCTCGAGCCCCATCAAGCGCATAGTAGCACAAAAGAGCAGCCCTGGCAAAGTTTTCGTTGAATTCTTCCCCCGATGTCGCGATTCTGTTTGATGGCTCCACCACGGACAAATTCAGCCAGTCCGAGAGACCCTTTTGCAATTCCTCCTTCGACCGCCCAGGACCTCCAATCATCCGTTCTGTGCAAGCCTCAAGAAGGGTCGCAGTCGATAAAACATCAAGATCTACATCCTCGTTGACCAAGAACTTGTCAGCCTCCGTAATCTTTTGAATGTGAGTCAAGACGGCTCCTCGCCGCATGAAGTTAGGCTGGAATGACGTAAATAGATTTGGACCGTTTACAGCTTTCGTCAGCCCAAGAACAACGGATTCTGGAACGCCAACCAATCGTTTCTCTTTTCTGGTGATGGGTTCCTCCTTGTACAGCTCAGAGCTTAGGGCATCCATAGCCAGCTTCGCTCCAGCACCATCTTTTGCCCCAGGAGCAGTCATCATCGCACCAATGGTAAAACCTAGTCTTCCGATCGTCTCCATCGTTCGTTGTTGCTTCTTCTTGCCAAAAATGTTCAGCTTTGCCAAGGCAGGAGTTTCGTGTGCTTCTTTTTCAAGTGACAGGAGTGTTTGAATCACACAATGAGTTCGTTGCCGTGAAGCTTTCTGCCACTTTGTCTCTTTCGCCAATCCACTAGCAAGCGGTTGGAATGGAGCTGGAAGGATATCGGGATAGAACATAAGGGCATACGGAAAGAAACGGGGTGCTCCCCACATCATAAAAACCATGTTCATAAGTTTACCACGATCTTCCTTTCCTTTACTGAGGAAGGTGAATTCATCATATGTGATTCCACCGTTTACGGTTTGAAGCTTCTTCTTCAACTCCTGAGGAGAAAGTTCAAGTTCGAATTCCCATTCCTTCTTCAACTTCTCCCTATGTTCTTTTTGTTTCCCTCGTATTTCTTTACAGCGTCCGTGGTTGGACCACATTTCCTTTGTTCCGTCGACAGTGCGGACAACGGAATCCTTCACATATCCAACAAGCTGACCAACTGGATTTCCTCCCTCTGTCTTCTGTACTGCAACAGGGGGCGCAGCTACCGCCGTTCCATGAGAGCAGGATATTTCGCCATTAATGACGGCAAGAAACAAGAATAGCTGTTGGACTTTCGTGGTCAACTGCATCACGATGGTATTAGAGTTTGTTGTTCATGCATGTTATCATTGGCTTTCGCATTTTTTGCTTCCACGTGTCAAAAGCTCATGACAATTAAAACATCACAACCTCCTCTTCTCCAGTCGACAAGTGACTGGAAGGGTCAGCTTGGCGTTTTTTTCAAGAGTAAGGGTTTCTATAAATTAGCTTGGTTTCCATTAGCATACCTCCCGATATCTAGATGGCGGAGCATACGGAAAATAACATCGGTTTGCTGTATCTTTCTCCAACATTGTATATTTTTCATTTGAGATGTCGAGTATGGAGAAAATAGTGACTTGCCAGCTCTTTCAAATACTCGGGGCCACAGTCCCATCGGGAAATCTCGATCCTGAAGTAGATGTCTTCCAGCTGCATTGAGACACGTTTCGTAGTTGATCAGGACTTGAATTCTCGAGAGCGTGGCCGTCTTCTGAACAACTGTAACTGTAATTTCGTGCACTCTGTGACTTCTTCGTGTGCCTTGTAGTATCGCCCTCAACCCCGCTTCGTTTATTTCATTCTTGTGCAGAAATATCCGTCGAACGCCCTTCATAAGATGCATTCTACTTCCCAAAAATACTGCGCCAGCATCAGTGATGCAATTGTGTTCAAGACGGACTTCTTCCAATGTAGAATTCTTCCGTATTGTTTCGACTAAGACCTTCAGATTGCTGTCGTTGATTTTGCTTCGGGACAAATCTAATATCCGAAGTGAGTTCTTGTCACTCAGTGCTCCAGACTTGAAAAATTGTTCCATGCCGATCCTCCCATTTGCTTTGTTATCTTGTAGAGTTAGCTTCTCTAGCGCGTTTTTAGCTGTCAACTTTGAAATTGCCGACAAAGTCGAACTAGTCAGTAGAACCCCGGCAATAGAGAGCTCTTCTAGAGTCGAAAGCTCTGACAAGGAATCCAGAATATTGACCATGCCCCCTTCTGAAGAGATACATCGGTCCAATGCTACCGACTTCAGCCTACGGTTCCTCCGAAAGAACCTAGTTAATTCTTCCACGGCCTCTTTCTTTATTGTACTCTTGACTAGTCTCAATGCCCGAAGCCCAGTATTTGCGTCGAGTCCAAGTATCAGTATACTGGTGTTCTCGGAATCCAGAGTTGTATAGAGCGACAGCTCCCTCAGAGCCTTACACCCCCGTAACCCATCTGATATGGCATGCATGCAGTTCTGACTCAACGTACCCGTCACTTCTATTCTCCTCACAGTATCAAGTTCCATGACAGATCTCATCGCTTGGTCAAGTTTGCCAATACAAAACTCCATGTAGAGAGCTTCCCAATCCCTTTGTGACGCTTTCAACAAATCCACTAGTGCCTTCGCGACATCCTCGTCGATTTCAATCTCTGAGAGAACAAGGTACTGGAGTTTACAATGGCGCATAGCGCTTTGTAAGCGACCAACGGCCTCGCATCGCCCGTAATTATCCCCATCGATGATGTCTACGTGGTTCATCGGATGTCCTTTTGATCTCGAAGTAACAATATGACGAAGATCAATCCAGCTCGGAAGCAGCAAGCTTGTGACCAATTCAGTTGTATGTTGCTTCATCTCGTGCTGTTTTTCATGTCTTCTTTGCACTGCTTGGTAGGTTTTGAAAGCAAAGATATTCGTTTGAGACCAAATAGTGATGTGTTGCAATGGTGATGGATATCGGATTTTTGTCGGACACGCTGGAGTGCTACGTCATTCGTGTACTTGTCGTAGTTACCCTCCGACGGAAAAATGAGAATCCGGCTGACAACCGCAAAAGTAGGTACAGTACAGTATGTGCTAGAATTTTCAGTTAGCCTACACTTCATCTCTTATTTTTTGATTTTGCTTTTAGTGCTGGATCACGCCATGCAAAGTTAACTTTGCTGAAGTCAATACCCATTCCGTTCTCTCTTAGGAACGGTTTGAATTTTTTCATCATTGGCCTTCCAACAAACGTACACAAGTGATCCTCCACGGTTTTGGTATCCGGGTGAATTCCGTACAACGAGAAGAACTTTTCTTTTGATCGAACGCCACCAAGGCCGTACTCCTCTTCATCCTTATGATAGTATGTGTCGCCTGGATCACCCAACCCGATAATACCATTGAGTCTCTTCATGGCTTGGAGACCAGAACCTGGAAATAGCTTTCCATTTTCCCAAAAGAGTTTCACCTTCTTTCTCTTTACTGCATTCTCCTTGATGGCATACATATGGAATGCGACAGAAATCTCTGGGGCGTAAATATCATACCTGTAAAAAAAGGAAAAGAATGAGCATTTATCATGTACACAATCCTAGTATCAGCCGTGACAACAAATCTCCGCATCCTCACCCATACGTGAAGCTTCTTAGTCCCTGAAAGATCTCTTCGCCCTGGAACACCATTGGCTCTGGACAATGCAAGAATTGGAACATGAGACGAGGAAGTAAAAAACGAAACAGAGATAGAGATAGATCGTCCTGCATCACTTACGATATTGATCATAGGGCACTTGAACTACGAAATGCCCACGTGCAAACGAAAAGCCAGCAGCCCAAAATGGATGCAATGTTGGCTCTCCGTGAATACCGGGTAGCCCTTCCGGTTGCTGTCCGTGCCGTAGGTGCTTCATCTTGCCTTCACCTTCGTAGTCCGTCTTACACATAATTGGTCTCATGGGATGGCGATTCTCAAAAGTAACAGGGTCAATGGAGTCTGTAATATCAGACAAATAAACCGAGAGGACTGCCATTTCATTGTTGGCTTGACGCCATTGATCAACAATGCTTGTGTCCCACCCTTCAATGAATCGCACGTGAGAGTCCACTTGCATCGCAAAATACTCCCCACGATACATCCGATTCGCCAAGTGTCTTGCAAAGACAGGGCCGACAGAGAGGGGCGCCGAAACCGCAAAAGAGTCAACTAGATGGCCATACTTGCACAAGGTTTGCTCAGGGTCTTCATCGCATGGTATTGTGGGTTCCGCACAGGGCGAGACTTCGTCATCCTCGGCTCGCTGATCGATGATTGCTATTCGCAATCGCTCTGGATGAGTTGCCCTCAAGAACATGTCTTCGACCGTCGGTTGACACTCGGGGTCGCGATATGAAGCCACAGAAATATATATCGTTTCGTGCGAATTGAATGTGCTTCCGATTGCCTTTGCTTCCTCTAATGTGGGAAGACGCTTCCCATTTTCTCCCAAAAAATGTCTCACACCACCCTCGCCATAGCCAGATGGTCTCCAAAATTTTGGAACCAGTATTTTGCCACTAGCTGGCAGATCAGGGTGTGCATGCAATATTGCCTGAAACTGGTGGGGGTCTGCAAAAAATATTCCCGGATGATCAATCTCCTCTAGATCGTGACTAGCATGAACCGGAAAAGTGTTTCGGACTTCATGTTGATCCTTCAGATCCTGTTGTCGAATGCTCGGCTCGGCAAATGCAAGTTCGGATTCCTGTTGTTTGGCGGTCATCTTCACTGGTTCTTGCCATGGCTTTGGGGCATCAGCAGGCTTTTTCTTGTGAATTGGGACACGATTGTAAGCTGCCAGTTTCTTGGACATTGCAGAAAATACTGGATTAGACGAGTCCTTGAATTCAGTCTCGAGATGCAAGATGGTGGCCGTCGTTAGTCCTGCCGACAGGAGGAAGACGGCCACAAATGCGAAAGCAATGTTCTTGTCGGCTACTGCCATCTTTTCCATTCGTTGCTTTGCTTCTGAAGAAGGCTTTTGCCTCCGTTCTTTTCTGCTTCTACCCTTGGATGGTAGTTCTATCGGTGGCGATGGCTCTTCCTCCATCATTTTGTTGTCTTGCTTTGGCGTCATTTGGCATTATACGCGTTGGGTTTTGTTCGTCGTGCCGAAATTTTGGTCTTGAACCACTCGACTTCGGTTCGCGTTTGGAGCTTTGATAGCTCTTCTCGAAAGTTCAGAAATAGTCGCAATGTAAAGTACCTGGCACCTAGAGAGACTACTGTACCGGTACCGTTACGGTATTGATGGAACATAAGCTTTGATGGAATAAAGTTAAACGAGAAAACAAATTGGTCATACTATACAGTACCATTATTGTTTGCGTAGATCATCATGTTGCTCTCAAACGAGAGCTCCTTCGAAGGTTAGTTTCTTGGCTTCTTTCTTCTGCTACTGCTACTACCTGACTCGACTTTCGCTTGGTGGATCCTCCTTTCTTCTTAGAAATTTTGTCAGTTGTTTTATTGGGTCCTTTCTCTTTGGCTGTGGCCTCTTTCTTTATCGATTCACTACTGCGAGCTTCCTTATCTTTCCCTTGCTTCTGTTTATAAACTATTGTGCGTTTCCGTGATATTTTCTTTTGGATGGATGCGACAATAGCGGATGTTCGACCACCTGAAGTAAGATATGTCACCGAGCGCCCCTTTTGATCTTTTGTAGGCTTTTTTTTGTTCCATCGATAATGAAATAGCCATTCGTAGGGAAATTCTTTGTTTTCTTTTAGAGCTTTCACCGCAAATTGTAAAATATTCAACAAGGTATCCAAAAGATTTGCGGCTTCGTCTGTAGTCAGATAGGCTTGATCTGGGTGCATTTGAATCTGATAAAGGACTTCATCTGCAACCCAGTTTCCAACACCACTCACACATCGCTTTTGATCCAGAATGAGTGCCTTGATTCCGATTGATTGATCCGATAGCTTGGCCAAAATCCATGTTCGTTTGCCGACTGCTTCATTCAATGCATCTGGTGCTAGTTCTTCAAACTCTTCCATACTTTCTTTCAGGAGCACGTGTCCGAACTTTCGAGGATCCGAAAATGACACCTCGTAGTCCCCAGCGGAAAAGGAAAGATATGTCGATGGTGGTGGATACTCTGCTTTTGCAGATAGTTCTTTCAGTTTCGGAATATTCCCTTGAGTCGCAATACGTCCAGTCATCCCCATGTGAACAAATAGATAAGATGTGGAGGATTTATTCTTTAAAAGCAGACACAACTGTTTCCCTTTCCGCCTGGCAGCAGAGACACAGTATTTCCCCTTATTGATCTTTTGAATCTCGTCATCCGAGAGGAAGTTGCGAGGTGGCTGCTTCTCAAGGCTTCCACGAGTAAGCTGAAGTGCTGTTGTTTCTGAAACTAATGGTAATAGGAGCTGTCGAAAATTCTCTACTTCGGGAAGTTCTGGCATTTTGCCACTATGCGTGTCCTTGAACAATATTTTATGGCACGAAAGTGTTATTGGGAGGAAACATGTTCGACATTCGGGACTGAAGTGAGAATTGACTCTTGCGAATTGGGACTAAATTATTCTGACTCAGCTTTTAGGACTGCCCAAACCCCTGTCTTGCTTTGATACCGTATGATTCCAGTTACCACCTGAGTGCCCATGAAAGCAGCTAGAGCCCACCATATTTGACCAAGACTAACGGCTCCATTCAAGCTCCAGCCCTTGATCATACCGACACAGACAATGTTCGCAGTCCACATTGCGCCCATCGTGAAGAGCCAGTCAAGACCGCCCATAACAATTCCATTGACAGGGTAAGCAAGTCCCTTGAAAACTTGCGTGACAAGCACGGCAGGGAAGATCACTCTGCATGCTTCCTGAACGGCTACATTGGTAGTGAGGCCTCGCAAGACAGAATCCATCTGCCAAAATGTGGTCATTGAAAGCGTTGCTGCAACGCCACCACCAACCAAGAGAGATGTGTTGATGAGGTGACGTACGAGCTTGGCTTTTGTCCTTTTTGAGTACGTGGTTGTATCTGATAGCTCTCGACTGCTCTCACGATCGATGAGCAACACTGAAATAAGAAAAACACAAAAACCAAATGAAGACACTCACGCAAGTAGAGTCTGGACTGCCACAGCCACTGCCTCGCAGATTTGGGTAGTAGCAAACCCAAGTTGGAAGGTTAGGTTGTACGCCGCAGCAGAAACTGTCCCAAGGAGTGCAGCTGACAACGACGAAGAACAGTATGGAATGAGATCAAGTCTTTATGCTAAATTTCATCTGCCCACAACTTACCTTGACGGGCACACACTGAATAAGCGAGAACTTTTCCCAGAGTTCTGAATAGGATAAGGCTTCCAGCCCTGAGATATGCTTTGAGCGAGGATCCAAGTTCCTTGACTTGTCCCAATACATCAATTTTGACCTTCCTGTTCAAGGCAAGCATCAAAGGGATTAATGCTGCGTATTGTGCAATAGCGGTACCAGCAGCTGCACCAGATGCCCCAAATTTGAGAGTAAAGATGAAAAAGGGGTCAAGAATGATGTTCAAACCTGTAAACATTAAACTGTAGATCAGCGGCGTGCGTGTATCTCCAAGTCCTCGAAAGATACCATTGGTTACCAGCCAAAGCGTCGCTGCAGGAGTACCTAAGGCACGAACTTTCAAATAGCTCACAGCAGATTCCCACATGGGTGATGCCGGCGACAGTCCCATACCTAACACATGAAGTAGTTGGCAACGGTCAAAGTTGTTCAAGTCAATGTCAGATGTACTGTTTCGAACATTTCGAGTAGCTAATAATACTCACCTCTGATGATTGAGCTTCCCAAAATGGTGTAGATAACCAACTGAACTGTACCAACACAAAAAGCTAGGAGAAGTGCCGAGGAGACGGCGATAGAAAGTTGCTTCGCCTGGTCAATATCTGCATCTTTGCCTCTCGCTTTTCCATCTTGCGAAGCGACCAATGAGATACTTGATCTTAACAGCGGATCATTGTATAATTTGGAAACAGCATACTGTGCTGAGACTGCAACCCCAGCACCTCCAAGAACCTTCGAAAACATTGAGCCGTACTGTTTTGTTCCGACGATCACAGTGCCATCATTTGCGTACCTCTGGTCCTAAGCGTCCGAGATACGCCGTATCCACTAATGCAGCAAGAGGCTCAGCTGCAAGCTGAACAAAGGCAGGGATACCAATGGAAAAGAATTCTTTTGTCAATCCCTTCTTAAGGCTTCCAATATCCTCATTATCATCTGGTTGCCCCTCAGTTACGTCCACTGCCGTCGTTCTCCAGTGATGAATGGAACCCTTGTTCCTCACTAGGTACGGACTGCGTAGCGAGTTAACATAATTTCCCTGGAACGCCAAGGAGCTGTGGAAGGAGAGCAGTAAGAGCAAGAGTGGTCTCATTGCTTGTATATCGTTTCTGTTGGATGTGCGAAGATTTTGTTCACTACATCTTGTGCCCTCCCCAAAACTTGAGCGTTTTGGGGGAGCTCCACGAGGTTAGGATTTCGAATTTTACCAAGACCATCGTTGGTCGTTGGTGCTGTGACAAACATTGTTCTACAAGGCATCAAGCTCATTGGCCATCACCAGCCGTTCAATCATGATAAAACTCAAGTCACTCTTATTTTCCATCCTTTCACTTTTCTGCTTTCTTCAACAAACGTCAGCTCTTGACATTGGTTCTGGGTGGTCATGGTATAAGGGGATGTTAGTGACCAAACCACTTGTCACGAAAAGCTTGACTTCCTGCGCAACGAACGGTCTCTCAGATATGGTGTGCCAAAATCTGCTACACAACGCTCAGGGAGCTGACGAACAACAAATAGAGCAGAAAAAGTTGGACAAGGAAAGACTCGTTCATGCTGTTGTAACTGGACTCGTTTGGTCTGGGCCGGTGACCCATTATTGGTACAAGATCTTGTTTGGAAAGTTGGTTACATTCAATGATCCAAAAATTTCATTAGCCGCGCAAATCTTTCTTGATGCGATCATTTTTAGCCCTTTCACTGTCTTTGGATATTTCGCACTGCGTTCAATCCTTGAAGGTTCTGGATTGAAAGGTATCCGAGAGAAATTGACAACTCGGCTTTTCGCAACAGTTCTTGGGGCATGGAAGTTTTGGCCAGCAGTCAATGTGATTAACTTTTCACTGGTGCCAGTGGAATTCAGGGTTTTGTATATGAACGTGCTCTCAGTCTTTTGGAGTGGGTATCTGACTTACGTGAATTCCAAGAGGATTACTACCACGAAGTAGAACAAGCAAGACGTAGAACAAGC